TTCCTCTATATAGCTTCAAAAAAAAGGTCTCTGATTCAGCTTGATTAAATAAAATAAGGTCCAGAATGTAATAGGGTGCAGACTGTCTTATGTTTCACAAAGTAATAAGAGATATAAGGCTATGATTGTTGCAGAGTGATTAAGACAAAAGAAAATCTGTTTCTCTTCCAAGGTTACCCAGATAAAATCAAGTGTATTTTATGCAGTATAGACATAATGTGATTCCATGGATTTACACCAGGGATGAATCTAGCTCGCTGTGTTCTGGGCTCTGCTATATTCAGGGTTTTATACCATGCTTATCACTATGAGATCTGAATGGTTTCTATTTCCTCCTAAATATATGTAAATTCAGGTAACTTGGCAGTCACTAAGCAAAAATGGTAGTGCCCAAAGTCATTAAACTTCCCATGTGGGTTTCTCAACAATTAGAAACAATGTACACAGGAGAGTGTTAGAAACCCAGCTGGGCCATTCTTTCACCATTATTGCAACTTGCAGGTTGAAAGGGAACAGCTATCTCGCTGTGTTGGAAATTAGATCTTCAAAAAGTGAATCACTAAATAGTGCAGTATTTGTATAGACTGAGTCCCCACTCTGGAATCATATCAGAGGAGGTGGAACCCTAAGTTCATGAAGAGCCCCATTGATTTTACTAAGCCAAAATAACATTTGGCATAAGCCCATGTAACTAAAATGAAATGGACAGAATTGCACCCAATTATACTACATCACGCATTTTGATACCTATTCTTTAATACAAAAAAGGACTTCATAGGACTGGTGGGAGGAAGAAAAGGAGGACTACATTGAGTTTAAGCACTTTGGAGGTGGTTTTTATTGCACAACAAATAAAATGAAGACTATCCTGCCCCTTTAAAAACACAATACAACAAGACTTCCCTCAGTCAAGATCTAAAGCAGTGGTTCCCAACGTGGTGCCCGCGGGTGCCATGGCGCCTGCCGGGCCATTTATGTGCACCCACCAAATAATCTGGGCTGGCCCTGCCCCTGGGTGCGTGGCACATGCCGGTGCTGGTCCCGGGTGCGCGGCGCATGTGCCGGCCCTGCTTATTTCAAGCAGGGCCAGCTCGAGCCATTCCTGCGCCCCGGGCCGCAGGCACGCGACACATGTGCAGCTCCGCCCCCGGGCACGTGGCGCATGCGCGGCCCCACACCGGGCGCACGGCGCATGCGCAGCCCCACCCCCAGACACACGGTGCATGAGTGGCCCCATCCATGGGCATCTAGCAGCCCCAAAAGGTTGGGGACCACTGATCTAAAGCAAAGGTAATGTCAGGGATGTTACGTATGTGATAGGGCCTAGTGGTTAACCTATTGCATGGGGTTGTCTCCCTGTTCAAGTCAGGGTTCAGAACCAGAAGGTTAGGGAATGAGATCAGGAACTTAGAGTCAGATAGTAAGAATCAGGCTGAGTCAGGAACCAAGAGGTCAGGAGCAGGAGAAAAGAGCAGATAGTGCTGTAGGAACAGTCCTAAGCAAGAGGTGGAGCAGAGTTGTATCGACACTATCCTGTTCTTCCTTCTGGCTTAAGTAGGAGGATTTGACAAGTCAGAAGCATCAGTGTTCCTTGTGGAAGACTCATGTGGGGGCATGAACATTTTCTCTGAGTATGGTTTTAGGAGAGATATATGGAATCCTAGGTATGTTCTAATGCATCAGGGATCTTATACTAGGATCTTGGCTGAGTGCTCCATCGAGAGCCATAATTTTTGTCCCACTAAACAAGTGGGTCCTTGCTCTTGACACTGATCTGCGTACCATCAGTAGTCTGTTGTTGTTTTATTGAGATGTCCTTTAACTTCCTCCTTGATTTGATGGCTCCATTGTACCCAATCTGAGGCAGCTGGGTTAGAAGAGGGCCTGGGTGGTTTTGGATGAAATCGGGGGTGGTGTCCATAGCTGACAATAAAAAACTGCTTTGACCCATAGGTATGTGGTCTTTGTTGTTATAAGTGAACTCTGTATAGTATAAAATTAGGACCAATCATTTTGATGGTAAGTGACGGAACTGACATAGCATTGCAGGTACAGTTCAAGGATTTGATTCCCTCTCTCTATCTGGCCATTTGAGTGTGACGGCAAGTGGAAGAAAGGTGTGTTGGGCCCAAATGAATGGTGGCCCTTGATTGCAGATAACATGTTTCAGAAGGCCATGACTTATTGTGGCCAGACAGCCCGCCTCCATATCATCCATCTTATTTGCCTCTCTGAAGCACAGGACAGAGAAGGAGCAATAAAATCAGCATAGTCTATGCTGGCTCATCTGATCCTGAGAAGCTGAAACATAGATATGAGGAGAGATCAGGATATGTGAGACTGCCACCGGCTGGCACCTATGTTGATTCGAACACACACACAGTCCCTGAGAGGAATTTCCCACTGAGAAAACAATGTCCAGTACTTCAAAATTTAATCATCTCAATTCTCTCTTACAAGTGTAAATTAAGTTCACAACTCCCTTGTAAGAACTGGTCTCACAGCAGACAGACCAGCATCAATTGGCATTACAGATAAGAAAGAGAAATACGTGACCCCATGGGTATATAAGATGGGCCCAGCACACACTCACTTTGAGTGTCATTCTACCCTCTACCTGCTGGTCAGGTTAGGTGTTTGACCTCCCGAGGTTCTATGGGGACGCCCACCTCGTATTTTCGTCTTTCCTAGGAATTGAGGGACCGGCCCTGGCCTGACATGCTGGAGTCGAGAGGCACAGAAGGGGGTAAAAATGGTACCTGGATGTGGTCCTCTGTCTTAAGTGTACACATAGAAAGAGTAAGCTGTTACTTGGTACCATTATTTCTATTTTTCTATCTTTATCTTCTTTGTAACCATTTTTAAGACCTATATTTTGCTAATAGTTAAGAAATAGAACAATAGCCATTGCAACCATATGATTTATAAGCTTCCTTAATAAACCTGTAACTGTTTAAGCTTTAACCTGACTCCTTCAGTTGCTGTAACAGAACCAAGCACAATTTAAAAGAACTTCAGCCGGTCATAAAGGGACAGATATAGGGAGAGCTTGGGCGTTTGGATTTGTGTCACACCCAGGTGGCACAATCCACTGGGGCACCTTTCAGCCTTTCCCCAAGGCTGCCCTCTGCGAAGGAACCCCCTGTGTTCTAGCAGCTAAAATCTAAGGTGTAATAAGCTCTTCCTATATAACGGGGCGTCTGTTGGCCTGCTGGCCACCCTCTGCGATGGGACCCCGGTCCTAGCAGTAAAGGCACGGACATTAAACCTTTTCTCGGAAACATACACACACACACTGCCCTGACCGTCGGCTGACACTTATTAACTTCTGGGTGGTTTCCGCAGTGGAGGGTCGATCACAACAGGGAATGAAGGGGGCCAACTTGGTGAAGTGGTCTACCATGGTCACAGACATTGTGAACTGTTGGGACTCCGGTAGTTCTGAGAAGAAATCCAAGGTGATAATCACCAAGGATTGGGATGGAGTTTCTAGATGTGAGAGAAGACTACTGATCTTATGGCACGAGGCCTCATCACAAGCACACACATTGCAGGAAGCAATGAATGCCTGTGTTGTGGGGTGAATTCAGGGCCCAAAGAAGAAGTGGGATGCTAGCCAGTGAATCTTAGAGAGCCCAAACTGTCCCCCCACCAGAAGTGTGTCATGGCATAACTTTAGGACCACCATTCTTGAAAGACACGGGGGAATGTAAATACAGTTATTCACAAATGTGAATATCTCCAGGGATATTCTCTCCTGGGTGTTCTGTGGCTCTCTGTTAATGATGCCCAGCTCATCAGGCAGAATCCCTGAAGCAGATGCAGAATGGATCAGTATAAACAGATCCTGGCAGTGTGCTGCATTAAGGAAGTTTCAAGGTTTGAGAATATGGACCAATTCCTGGCAGCTGTAGTCTTGGAGGTCAGTATTGACACTTTCAGGAAATGGCAAAAAAAAAAAAACCACCACCAACACCACCCAGGAGGTAAGGGTTGGGAGACAGGTAAGAGAATTCAGTTTCATTTGGCTATACTCACAGAATAACATATCAAGGTAGATAAAAAGAACACCAACTTCTGGCTATTGTAAATTTTAAAGTTCAGATTTCTCATACATAGAAATACTAGGCCCAATGTATCCCTGGAGCAGGTGTCATTATGTCAATTTAATTATTTAACAGGAATAACACTAGAGATGAATTTTACCCTGTTATAGTATGGAGACAGCTACTGCCATTTTGCATGCTACTCTGAAATGTACAATGTCTTTTAAATAATGTTTCTAAAAAGGTAACCTGCAAAGATAGTTTGCAGTATTTGTTTAATTATTATTTTAAAACTAAGCTGGTAAAAGGGTGAGGGGATTTAATCTGACCAGCAGTGCAAAACAGCATTCAGGTACGTTAACACTTTGGACTGGACAAAGCATCAGAGCTTAAAAGGGAAACAATCTGGCACTTTCACAGAGGACTGAACTACACATAGCATTTTCCATCTCTAGTTTCTAGGAGTCTACTGCTCAGTGTTGTTGGATGAGAATTAATGTGACTCATCCATGCTACTTACTAATACTTCTCTTGGAAGGAATTTGGAAAATCTGATCTTTTATCATTAAAATAAAAATGATACCTAAGCTAAAGTGCCTCCGTTTCATACATGATTGAAAAAAGAAATGGATTCACATACTTCCAGTTCAATAGCAGGCACTGTCTTAAGACAGCTCACCCTCTAAAGGAATACAGTTCTAGATCTTAATCCCAAAACGCACACTGACCACGGAAGTAAATAAATGGAAGGATCAGAACACAATAGATGAAAAGGACCAACAAAGAGAAGCACTAGCTTCAGAAAACACTAATGTAACTTGTGCAAAATCTTTCATCTACTACAGACAGACGCCAGAGAACAAAAGAGCACTCCCTTATATTACCACCATTTTCACTTAGGCTTCTCTAAAGTACCTTGGAATAACTGCTGGTAGTTATGAACCAACCACTTACCAACATATCCTGGGGTCCCACATGCTGTGGACATGACATCTCCTTTACCCTCCATCTTGGACAAGCCGAAGTCACTGATCATGATTTTCGATTCTTCATCCTGGCTGTAGTACAGCAGGTTCTCAGGCTAGAAGAAAAGTTTGAGATGCACAGTTATGAATATATGAGTCGAGTACAGAATAATGTTTGTTGGCTAATACTTTACATTTAGAATATTCCATTTTTGAAGCAAGGAGGGATACTTAGGAATCTTCAACCAATTCCTCTAATAATCATTCTTCAAAGCCAGTATCAGCCAAGCTGTTCTTGGGATTGAGAAGGATTCTATGGGGAAGGAATAAATGCAACGCTTCAGAACTTCATTCTATGGGGAAGCAATAAATGCAACTTTTCAGATGTTGTATGTACCATCTCTGGAGCCATGCCTTTTTTCTTGATAACCCAAGCAGGCACTATGGCTCCTTTCTTTCTCCTGATTAGAGATATAAAGGAACTTATCTATCTTCATACACTGATAGTCTCTTCACTTTATGGTGATCAAACAGAAGGGTTGATTTATATGCAAGTATTAATGGTGAGCACTGTGTAGAACATTCAAAACATTTTAAATAAATGCAGTAGGGGGTTAAGCTGTACTTTAAAAATCCCATTTATGTTGGAGAATTGTTATATATATCCTGTGGGAAAAACCAAGATCAAAGAGTAAATTAAATGCTATTAAAGTTAACGGATTTTCACCAATGTTGATTCGGCTCCAGTTGATCAGAGAAAAACAACATTACTGAGAATAATGAACTATGAGCCTGGTTGTGCTGATAGAAACCAGGAGTCTCTTCTCTAAGCTCCATGAAGTTGCAGTGATGTTAATCTGCTTTTAGGGGAAAATCATACCCCAGACACCAATAGGCTACATTGTTGCTAATCCAAAATATACAATACACCTGCTTTTAATAATTTGTTATGTTATTAACAAACAACCCAGCTCTGACTACGTACAGTGCACTTCTGGAAAATGTAATTTGAGGTTTTACCTCCCAGGGTGATTCCATTGCTAAGGGTTAGAGCCTGCAAGCTGCTCCAGGTTCTCTGTGAGATGCTCTGCTTCCCGAGCTCCCAGGGAAGCTGTGAACAATCCACACGCAAGGGGGCAGGCCTTAAACTTGTTACCTTTTTACAGCATGAGAAAACCAGCTTACTAACATAATATTGGAACAGTTTCTGCCAATAAATGGGTACAAATTCCTGCCACAATTTAACACATTTCTTCTATAAACTCAATATGCGTGCCAGATGTGGATTTCCAGGAAATTATATGAGACAGGTGGGACAGGCAAGTGGGATTGGAGGAGGCATCTCCACTGAAGTCAACAGCAATGGGGTAGGGCTGAATTTTGACACCTTATCTTATTGCAGAACTCAGGAAGTCAGACACAGTTTTACGTTTCACTCAGATGCTTATGAACTCTTAATGTACTTCAACAGTACTCTCACTGAGCCAGAAACTGAAAAATAGCAGAGGAGAAGAGAATGAATTAAATGTTTAGGACCTAATCCTTAAAACCTGTTTTTCTGAGCTCAGTGTGGCATGGTGACATGGCAGAGAGGAGAATTATTGCTAACAGGGCCACAGGGTCCTTAGATGCAACTATGTACAGCAGCTCTGAGGTTGCTTTAAATTGTATGGACTGCCAATAGTTCACAGGGCAGCCATGATCACTGCAGTTTAAGGATACTCTGGCCATGTTCCCTCTTTCTTGGATTATTTCCCTTGAATTGGGAGGAGGAGCAGTGAAGGAGCCATCATACCATCTCCATACCATCTAGACATTCCCCTTTTATATGAAACAGAGGGAGTTAGAGTTGCCAGATGGTTTAGCAAAAAATACCAAACGCCGCGCCTTCCTCCCCCCAAAAAAACCACCAGGGAAAAATTCTGTTGAGAAAAAAAAGGGGAAGATGAAAAAAGGACCCCGAGAGTTGTTAAACAAAAAAAATTTAAAAATTAAAAAAAAAGCACGTCCCCTTTAAGAAATGCTTTTGAGGCTTTTTGTCCCTAACAGGCTGCCGGCAGCCGTCCGCCATCTTGTCTTCCTGCTCCAGGCCAGACAGCTCCCCTGTGGAACCAAGTAAGCACCCGGAATTTTTGCCTCCTGGCTGGGAAAAAAAATCAGAAAATACCGGACATTTTAGGTGTAAGGTATTTTCTGAATTTTTTTTACTGGACAGGAGGCGAAAATACTGGACTGTCCAGGTCAATGCCAGACACCTGGCAACCCTATAGAGAGTAGATAAGCCAGTTTTCTGGTTGCTGTGTATAATCAGAGCAGCAAAGCTGCGCTTTAATTTGTGAGACTAATACATAGTAGATAGAAAATAATGTTATTCACTTGTCCTCACATGCCCATTTACACACAAGGGAAAGCAAACAAAGGACTCTGCCCAGCGTCTTCTAAAGGGGCTGAGATTAAAAAGGAAACAGGGCCTCTGAAAAACAAAACATAATTGGCTGTGCTGTGTGTACTGCTTTTCTAAATGTTCACATGGTACCTCATGAGTTCCTCAACTTCAATGCCTTGCACAACTCGGTCACTGCCTAATCCTTGGGCTTTCATCTGACATCACACAGGAATGTCAAATGTACAGCCCAAGGGCTAAATCTAGCCCATGGTACTGTTTCATCTGGCCTGTGACTCTTGGGCTAGGCTACATGACACACTATGAAAGTGTGATTCATTGAATGCAACAGTGTGTCACACATTAATCTCTGTGCAGACCCTGCTAGTGTACATTGGTGCAGCCCAATTTCAAACAGGACTAGATCAATGCATACTAAGGAATATTTAGAGCAAGACTGCAGGTTTCACATAGGGAGTTAGAGCACAACACACTAGTATACTCTGCAAATCACACTCCTGTAGTCTTGACTCGCACAGTAATACAGCAAAACCTCGCATACAGATGTAGAACCGCCGGCCATGTTTAAGAAGCACTGGGAAAAAAGTAGTTACTCACCCTGTGAGATAACGATTGTTCTTCAAGATGTGCCCCGTGGGTGCTCCACTCTAGGTGTTGGGTCCCGTCCCGGCACCACGGCTCGGAGACTTTTCATAGCCGTGCTCCACCGGCTCGCGCATGCATGCTTCCCCAGAACGGCATTTGCGCCTTTGATCAGCCACGCGCGAGCCAGCAACCGTCAGTTCCTCTCACCCACTCATCTGAAAGAAAACAAACAAACAATTCCAGAGCGGGGAGGAAGGGCGAGTCGTGGGGCACTCACGGGGCACATCTCGAAGAACAATCGTTATCTCACAGGGTGAGTAACTTCTTTTTCTTCTTTGAGTGGCCCCGTGGGTGCTCCACTCTAGGTGACTCCGGAGCAGCACCCAGGACAGAATCGGAGTGCTCCGGAATCAAAACCACCAGCATGATTAAGTACTGCTGTAGCCACTGAAGAGTCTGAAGCAAACTGATCAACAATAGCCTAGTGCTTTATAAAAGTCACATTAGAAGACCATGTTGTTGCTCTGCAGATGTCACAAAAAGACACTCCGCTGAGAAAGGCTGTAGTAGTAGCAACTGCCCTAGTCGAATGAGCCCTTGGAAGAGAAGGGAGAGGCTTTCCTCGTAACGAGTGGCACATGGATATGCATGAAATATCAGTCTCGAGATGTGCTGAGAAGTTAGAGGTTGTCCCTTTGAAAGGTGTGCCAATGATATTATCAAGTGGTCTGTTTTCCTAAAATCCCACGTTCTATCAATGTAAAGCGCTAAGGATCTTCTCACATCCAACGAGTGTAACGGCGCTGCTTGAATTGAGGTATGGGGTTTAGGGAAGAAACATGGTAAAACTACCGGCTCATTTATGTGGAAATCAGAAGAAACCTTTGGAATAAACGCTGGATGAGTCCTCAATGTCACCGAGTCTTTAGAAAAAACTGTATACGGAGGTGAGGCCATAAAAGCTGCTATCTCACTTACTCTGTGAGCAGAAGTGAGGGCTAGAAGGAATAGGAGCTTGACAGTAAGTATGCGCAATGGTACTGTAGCCAACAGCTCAAAACGAGGACGAGTCAGAGTTTCTAGAACTAGATCCAAATTCCACGAAGGTGGAGGGGGCCTCTGAGGATTCGAGAGCCCCTTTAAAAACCTTTTTGTAATAGGATGAGCAAACAAAGAAACATCCTCGTCTTTATGATAAAATGCATTAATTGCTGCCAAGTATGCTCGTAGGGAAGCAACTGCCAGACTGCTGTCATGTAGTTGCAAGAGGTATTCCAATATACAAGGTTGTGGATCGAGGGTTTACATCGTTGTCCGCACACCATGCCTGGAATCTGGACCACTTAGCTGTATAAGTGGTTCATGTAGATTGTTTTCTACTCTGAATTAACACTCACTTGACTCACTGAGAACAGAACTATTCGGAGTCGGTAAACCAACAAGTATCCATGCCGTGAGGTGCAGGACTTCGGGTCTCGGGTGACTGAGAGATCCGTTGTCCTGGGTCAATAGACTCGGAAGAGAAGGCAGAGGGTACGGTGCTCTCACTGACATGCGGTGGAGCATTGAGAAGCAAGGCTGACGAGCCCACGCCGGGGCTAGAAGGATTACCTGGGCTTCATCTGTGTTGATTTTTTTCAAGAACCTTGGGAATTAAGACCACTGGGGGAAAGGCATATAGTAATGATCTTCCCCAGTGGAGAAGAAAGGCATCGCCCAGTGAATGACATCCTATTCCGGCTCTTGAACAATAGGCAGGACATTTTGAGTTGTGTTCTGTCGCAAATAAATCTATCACCGGAAATCCCCATTGAACAAAAATACTAGTAACAACATCCATGTGAATCTCCCACTCATGGTCGTGTGGAAAACGCCTGCTGAGTGAGTCCGCTATTAAGTTGTCGACACCTGGTAGATAAGATGCTGCTAGAATGGTGTTGTTAAGGATACACCAATTCCATAAACAGACGCTCTCCGCACAAAGAGAACGAGATCGGACACCTCCTTGTCTGTTGATGTAAAACATGGTCGCCACATTGTCTGTTAGAATCCTGGTAGTTGTATTCCGTATCTGGGACTGAAAATGCTTGCAAGCAGGATGCACCGCTCTCAACTCGAGCACACTGA